TAAATTAACCCAAGGATGAGTTTTGATGTGTTTTCCTTCTAACAGAAAGGTAAAGTGAAAGAGGCTGCCCAGCGCTACCAATACGCTCTGAAAAAATTCCCCAGAGAAGGGTTTGGAGAAGACCTGAAAACCTTCCGTGAGCTGAAAGTGTCCCTGCTTCTCAACCTCTCCCGGTGTCGAAGGAAAATGAATGTAAGTGTCCCCTCTTTCCATGGCCTCAAGCACAACCTGTGATTTGTGCCYCTGCAGGGACATGTCCACCCCTAATTGTGCTTTGGCCTCTCAGATCTCTCCTCTCTGTAACCTTCACAGAGCACTGACGTTGGATAATTCCAAAGCAGTAATGATTTTCTGTGCGTTTCAGATGATTAAAAATTCATCGCTGTGTTTATAGCTCTTTGAATTTTTTATTACTGCCTTTTGATGATGATGCTGACATCGTCACATGGGTGTGGAGGCATTTTCCAGATTTCTGGGGCAGYGGTGAGGAGGAGCCAGGAGATGTGCTCCTTTGAATAGGAATTAATTTCACATGAAGGAGCATATGCTTAGGGGGTTAGCGCTTCCCCAGGGCACTGACTCATCCAGAAACACCCCCACAAGACTCCCTCTCCTCCCAGAACTTCCAGATCCCTGTCACTCTCCCCCCTCTCCAATCTGGCAGCATCCAGCAGCCAGCTCGTGCAGATGCCAGTTCTGCCAGCACACAAATGCCACCTTCCCTGGCTTGGCATGCAGTGGCTTTCACCTCCACTGGTTAAACTCCCCATCAACTCAAAAAGTGACATTGCTGATGTCATGAGCCAGCAGAGGTTACACTGGAAGGGAAGGAGATTTTGGGACACCTTCATTTCTTTTTCAGTGAGGAAGAAAGATGGAAAACAATGGGAATAAAATCTTAATGCTGGTGAACAGAGTCTGGAGGAAAAGTGTGAACCTTCTCTTTAAACCAGCCAATTCACAGCTAAGCAGCTCCACCTCTTGTCCTGTACTTTGAGGACAAGCTTTTTGGTTTATGGTTAACTGGAGAATGCCAGGATTTGTGATGGAAATTGCAGAGGGTTATAATTGCTCCTGTAGATGAGACTGAAGAGGTTTCATGAGTGCGTTCCCAGTTCAGTTTGTTGCACAGTAACTCCTCAGTAACTGACTCTGCAGAAACACAAACTTGTGCAGAAATACAATCTTCCCCAGGCAGGGCATCCCCACAGCAAGAGTTGGCTTCCCAAGCTTTTGAACAAATCAGGAGCAGCGTTGTTGAGTCCTTTTCCCAGAGCTGCTCATGTCATGGCCCAGCTCATGATCCAGAGCAGTGTTGGGCTGTGAAATGAATCTTCCTCACTGGGAAGAGTTCTCCTTCACAAGTTCTGAGCTTAGTGGGATGTGAAGCATTCAGAACAGGCAAAGGAGGGTGGAGACAGAGTCTGGAGCAGAGCTGTTAGTCTGGGCTCATGGCATTGCTCCTGTAAAGCACCCAGGGCAGTCCCATCCCACACTGTCACCCTCTCCCTGCTCCCAAACCTTGCTCCCAGCTGAGCTGAGGTGGGGCTGAGAGGAGACTTTGGCCAGGCTGCCCTTCACAGGCAGTTTTCTTCAGCCCCTCGAAGAATATCAATGTGTTCAGGGGAGCAGAAAGCCATGGGAAAGGTTTCCTGTTGCTTTCAACTGTGAAAAAAAAACCTAAGTGAGTTAACATTCCAGCCTTTGCAAGACCAGATGTTTCCTGGAGACTGCAGGTGCTTGGAGAGAGATTTACATGCACTTGTTGGGGACACAATGAGAACAGAGCCAGTGGCTTGGTGGCCTCTGTGGGTGATGGCAGCAACTGCATTGCCACACGCCAAAGTATTTGAAAATGCCATCATAGATAGCTCTCTGCCTTAAATCCACATGAAACATTCCAGTACCATCAAGTTTTCCATGCAATATGAAGCAAAAAAAGTCCATATTAAATTTGTTGTCTTCCCATACCTGTAGGTATTTTTATTTCTCAGTTTATTCTCAGTTTCTCAGTTTTATTTCTCAGTTTATTCACCTGCACGCTTATTCAAATGACAGGATTTTGGAATGGCGGAGGAATTTGCCACTAAAGCGCTGGAGCTGAAACCGAAATCTTACGAAGCTTACTATGCAAGAGCAAGGGCCAAACGCAGCAGCAGGTGAGGAGGGGCAGAGRGGAGGGTGTGAGGGGTTGGTTTCTGCAAGCCTGGCACCACATCAGGGTGGGCACCCACCCTGCAAAGCCAGGCAGTGCCCCCGTGGGAGGAAATGTCCAAGGAATGTTCATTAGCCAGCTCACAAACTTCCCGAGCTCCAAAGCAGTGCCCTCCCTCATTTAAGGATTAATGACTCCAAGTGTTTTGTCTTGGTGGAATTTTGTCTGGACATCTCACAGCTCTGGAGACCTGGGCACCAAAGTGGGGTGTTTTTTCTCAAAGGGTGCTTTAGTTTGAGCACAGCTTGGACTCAGAGCAGAATATGGCTCATGGCCTGCGTTGTGCAAGGGGCAGACTCATTCATCACAGTGGTCTCCTCTAAAATCTGTGCATCTCTGTCCTGCAGCCCTTTCTGCCCAGCAGATGCTGCTGACCAGCTTTTTCCTCGAGTTTTTCCCCCATCTGGGTGGGTTTTCTCAGATCAGAGTCACGTTCAAACACATGGTTCTGCTCCAAAGTGAACAGCGTCCCTGTAAATGACAATCCCCACCCCAAACCCCCAGATCTCTGTTACCCCTCTGGGCTGGCCTTTCCCTCACAAAGATTTCCCTGGGCAGCTTGAGCCTCTGGCACATTGCTTGATTTCCTYGTTCCAAAGAAGTTAGCCAAATCCCCTGCAAATTGGAGAGACAAGCCTTGCCCAGAGCRCTGACCCGTGGGAGCCCCCGAGCTTTGGAGCCAGGCCTGACGCTGTGTGGTCTTGGCATCGGGCAGAAGTTAAATTTTCCCTGGCGTGAGTGGTTGTAGCTCTGTCACAGCTTGTTTACAGCAGCAGTGGGCTGGCGGCCATCGATGTGTTGGTGTCCCCTTTGCTATCACGGAGGTGAAGTTCATGGTGGTGCTAGTAATTAATTAATTAACCCCTGAGGCACGCCRGTCTGGGTTGTGCCATCTCAGGACTGTGTTCCCTTCTTCTCCAGAGTTTTCGCTGTGTTTGGGTTATATAAATCCAAGGCAGCGTGTGAGAGGTGCAGCGAGCAGCAACAATCCCAGATTTCTCCCTCAGCAGCACACACAGCCCTCTTTACCCCCCTTGCAATCCCTGAAAGCAGCTCCATCCAAACCCAGAGTTTGCTTCCAGCTCTCATTTCTGTCCCTTTGTCGAGCAGGCAGTTTTCAGCAGCCCTGGAGGACCTGAACGAGGCCATCAAGCTGTGTCCCAACAACCGAGAGATCCAGCGGCTGCTGCTGCGGGTGGAGGAGGAGTGCAGGCAGGTGCAACAACAACAGCAGCAGCAACAACAACAACAACAACAGCCGCCAGCAGCACCAGTGCCAGCAGAGCCAGAGCCAGAACCCCAACACGAAGAGCTGTACTCTGTGCAAGATCTCTTTGAGGAGGAATACCTCGAGCAGGACGTGGAGAACGTTTCCATCGGGCTGCAGACGGAGTCCAGGCCCAACCAAGGGCTGCCCATCATCCAGAGCCCGCCGCCATCTCCAGCTCACAGGGACTCAGCTTACATCTCTGGTTCTCCTCTGGGCTCTCATCAGGTGTTTGATTTCAGGTCCAACAGCTCCGTGGGCTCCCCGACGAGGCAGGGCTACCAGTCCACRTCTCCCGCTCTGTCTCCCACGCACCAAAACTCCCATTACAGGCCCAGTCCTCCTCACACGTCCCCAGCCCACCAGGGCTCCACTTACCGCTTCAGCCCYCCTCCCGTGGGCAGCCAAGGGAAGGAATACCAGAGCCCCCCGCCCTCTCCCCTTCGCAGGGGCCCCCAATACCGTGCCAGTCCCCCCGCAGAGAGCATGAGCGTTTACCGGTCACAGTCGGGCTCGCCGGTGCGGTACCAGCAGGAGCCCGGMGCGGTCACTCAGCTGCCCGGCCGGCCCAAGTCGCCGCTGTCCAAAATGACACAGAGATCCTTCCAGATGCCCCAGCTGCCCGTGGCCATGCCCCAGCAGGGGCTCAGGCTGCAGCCGGCCAAGGCGCAGATCGTCAGGAGCAACCAGCCCAGCTCCGCCGTCCATTCCAGCACCGTCATCCCTTCTGGTGCCTACAGCCAGGTGGCTCACTCGATGGCCAGCAAGTACCAGTCGTCCTCGGGGGATGTTGGGGTCAGCCAGAGCAGGCTGGTCTACCAGGGCTCCATTGGGGGCATCGTGGGTGACAGCAGGCCGGTGCAGCACGTGCAGGCCAGTCTCAGCGCCGGGGCCATCTGTCAGCACGGAGGGTTGGCCAAAGAAGACCTTCCACAGAGGCCATCTTCRGCCTACAGAGGGGGGATGAGGTACAGCCAGACGCCGCAGATCGGGAGGAGCCAGTCGGCCTCCTACTACCCGGTGTGCCACTCCAAGCTGGACCTGGAGCGTTCCTCCCTCCCCGCCAACCAGCTGGGCTCTCCGGACGTGTCTCATCTCATAAGAAGGCCCATCACGGTCAATCCCAGCGAAATCAAGCCTCACCCGCCGACTCCGAGGCCTCTGCTCCACTCTCAGAGCGTTGGCCTCCGCTTCTCCCCTTCCAGCAATAGCATCTCGTCCACCTCCAACCTGACTCCCAATTTCCGCCCCTCTGCTTCCATCCAGCAGATGGAGATTCCCCTCAAGCCGGCCTACGACAGATCGTGCGATGAGCTGTCCCCGGTGTCGCCCACGCAGGGGGGCTATCCCAGCGAGCCAGCCCGCTCCCGGACCACRCCGTTCATGGGAATCATCGATAAAACCGCTCGGACTCAGCAGTACCCCCACCTCCATCAGCAGAACCGGACCTGGGCCGTGTCGTCAGTGGACACCGTCATCAGTCCCACATCTCCTGGCAATCTGCCCCAGCCGGAATCCTTCAGCCCGCCCTCTTCAATCAGCAACATTGCCTTTTATAACAAAACCAACAATGCACAGAATGGCCATTTGCTAGAGGAAGACTATTACAGCCCCCATGGCATGCTGGCCAATGGGTCCCGGGGAGACCTCCTGGAGAGAGTCACCCAAGCCTCCTCGTACCCCGACGTCAAGGTGGCAAGGACGCTGCCCGTGGCGCAGGCCTACCAGGATAACCTGTACAGGCAGCTCTCCAGGGACTCCAGGCAAGGGCAGACGTCCCCAATCAAACCAAAGAGACCATTTGTGGAGTCTAATGTGTAAAAGACGCTTGTTGGAGTGAGACCCTCATGTTTTCAGCACACACTTCCAAGCTTGATTTCCATGCATATTATTATTATTATTATAATAATTATTATTATTATTATTATTATTTTTATTTCTCTTCGGTAGCTACATGACCAAGTTTCTCCGGTACTTTATGTGGTGGTCAGACAGCCATGCACGTGCTCCAGCCCTTCCAGTTCCCCAGCTGACCGTGAAGCCAACATCAGCCGAGCCAGTATCGTTTTGCCCAATTCCAGCAAAGTTCCAACCAGGATATCTCTTTAGTCCGTGGTGCGGGGTGGTTCCAGAGATATCCCTACGCAGCAGGAGGTAACCAGCTCTTTTTCAAGAGACAATTGCCTTGGATTGAAATGGGTTGATTTTGTCTCGGGCAGCTCTTGCTCACCTCTGATGGGAATTCCTAAGGAATTCCGCCGGAGCCGCTCCCAAGGCTGCACCCACGGGTCCCAGGTCGTTTGGCTCTTTGCCCCCAAAGAGCAGATGACCCTCGGTGATGTGATTTAACACCAGTAGCTATGCACAGCACCCACAGCACCCATCCAGATCCTGCTGGTTTACAGCGTTTTCTTTCCTTGTTTAACTGTCGTCAGCCACAAGGGGTGGGGATCACTCAGCACTTTGCTGCTTTCCAGGTACCTGCCAGGTGCCCCCACRCTGATTTCTTTGCTCTGGGGCATTTTACAAGCGTTGAGGGATTAAGGTTGGCCCTTCCTTACGTGTTTTAATCAGCCAAGGGAATTATCCAGGAACCTCTTGCACATGAACTGGGATTGCACTAACTTCTTCACACTGTTGGCARTCTGCATCTCACTCACAGCGTTTGCACGGGGCAAGTTAGTGTTGTCTGGGGAGGGGGATTTATCACCTGCAAGGAAAAGCAAAAATCTGACTTAAAAAACGGCATTCAAGGAGGAAAATTGCAATTTTTAAGGGTTTTTTCACATTTTTTTATGATGAGGATGCAGAGCATGGCATGGTGGCRGTCCCTAAAGAGGAAGGGTCTTTCTGCAAGCCCAGCCCTGCAGAAYCCCTTCCCTCTGGCTTGCTCCAGGGAGCAGGGGCTGGGGCAAAGGCTGTACTCCTCTAACATCCTCTGTTCCCAAAATCCTGGAAAACRACACCGTGTTCCGTATCTGTACATGGTACAGACCGTGCGTTGCTTTTTGAGAAGCTGTAGTTCAGACAGACCTATTTATAATTTATTTATGTTACCTGTTTCAGGACATTTTCCACTTTGGCTTGGGTTTTTTCCTATTATTTTCAGTTTTGTCATCAAATGCAAGTCACATCAAGACAACACAAAAAGCAGGGGGCCGGTKCCAAAATCCTTTTTATAGGATTTTCGATAATTTTTCAATCACTTGCTGAAAATTTCTTTTGGGGGGTGGGGAGGAAGAACTTCCTTTWTGGATTCCTTTATTCCTGGTGGGTTTGTAATCTGCCTTTTCTGTTGCTGAGGGTGAAGGGTGGGATGGTTGGGAGGGAGAGTCGCTTGTTTTAAAGCAAACCAGTGCCTGTTGCCCGATGCCRAACCTCACTCATATCAACTTTTGGGAGCGATTCTGTGCTGAGCAGGGGGGGAACRATTCTTTCCGGGGTCTCCAAAGGGCTACTGCCAATCGATTGCAAGATTTCTCGAACCAAATCACAGGCTCCAGCCTCCGCTGGTGGGAGTGAGCTTATCCCAGTGCCACATCACTGCAGCTGCACCCGTTCACATCAGCTCAGGACAGGTCTGGAGCTCTTTAAGCAAACCTTGGCTTCAGTGGGGCTTTTTTTTTTCTTCTGTGTGTGGCTCAGCGCATCTCGTTGCTGTTTTGTTGCCTCATTTGCTCAGAGTGAGCTGGGACACTTTGGGTGAGGGGAGGTTTGTGTCTCATAGACACATAAAGCGTTTGGAAGATGGGTTCCTCTGTGAGTTTTGGCGGTTTGAGGGCTCTCTTGGACCATTTGGTCTTTGTCAAAGCCAGTGTTTGGATTGAGGTTGGTGTTTTCTTCTTTGAGGTTCCACCCAGCGCTGACTCTTGGCTTTATCCCAGGGCTCTGTAAAACGAGGGGCTGGCTGGGACCCCCAGCTCTGCTCACTGTTCCTCTYCTTGCAAACCAGGTGTGATCATTTTCTTCCYTCCTCTCTTWTTTTGAAACAACRTGCTCTGTTTTGTGAGAAATGACCRATTTTCCCTCCTCATTCCACACGCTCACAGCTGGGAGATGTATCCTGGCTCTGGAGCAGTGGCTCAGCACCTTCATCCTCCATCTTTATGCCTGAGTGAGTGGCTTCCTACCTTTAGTTGCCTCTTTGAAAGGAGAAAGTCACCCAGTTGAGCCCTGTCACTGTTTTATCRGACCTGCAGGGTGCTCCAGGAGCAGTGACAGAACTGCCCACGCTTTGCTTTTGCTACTCGCTGCCTTGTGCTCCCAGTCCTGTCTTTCAAACCATCACCTCACAGCACTCCTGTGTGTAACTTTTCCRTTCCTGAAGATGCTTTAAGGGAAAAAGAAAACATCTCACGCTCTTAATACGACCAGGAAGCTGAAGAAGGATCGAAACGCTGCGGCGTGCAGGTTTTTTTCATGATTCCACATGTTACATTTTTCACAGGATTCTTGCACTAATGGTATTTCCATCTGTTCTCTCTGTAAATGGGTGCACTTTACTGTTTGAATTTGTTACTATGATAAATACTGGATATTTAAGCGTGAGTAGTGTCTTCATTAGAAAAATAGCAAAGCAGCTCTTGTCTCTTAGTGTATTTTTCAAAAAAAAAAAAAGAAGAAAAAAGAAAAGAAGCAATGAATCATAACATTTATAGCACAAGAACTGACTCCTGTATATAAGCATCAACAGATTGAGTAATTTTTGAATACAAAATTATTTTTAGTGGTTTTAAAGCACTTGCCCAGCAATTCTCTTAGGGACAGTTGAAGCAGGATGGCTGCTGTGGTCACCGGGTGGGTAAAAAAGCACATTTCTTCCTGGAAAAGCTGTTCTTGCTCAGTCCCCCGTGTCTTCAAAGTCATGATTTGGGCTTTGCACGAGGAGAAGCAGAGGTCATTGTGTGTTGTGCTGGCTCGGGGGAGCACAAGGTCAGATCTCACCCTGAGGGCCCTTCATCCTCTTCTCTTAGATCCAGGTCTGACAAGCCCAGGCCACACTGTAGGGTCACACTCAGAGTGTCAGACATTGTGCTGTCCCATCCGTCTGTGCTACATAGTTAATTACTCTTTGAGTAATTAAGAGGCAGGACGGTGCTGCCAGCTGGTGCCTTCATCCCCTCCTGGCTGCGCTGGTACCGCTGGCAAACCCCATCTTTGAGCAAGCAGGGATTTGGGTGCACTGAGTAAAGCAGGTTCTTGATGGCACTGAAATCGTGGTTTTCATTCTTGGGGTGCATGAAAAGGCAGTTCCAGAAGCGATGCTGAAGCTGACCCCWCTCTTTAGCCAACCTTGCCACCAGGTGTGTCTCATCCTCACCTATGGGTGCTCCCAGACCAGGTGTGGGTGTCTGCTCCATCCCTTAGGGGAGATTCATCAGTTCTTGTTTTCCTCCCAGATCAGGAGGATGCTCTGGTTCCAGGGGTTGTTTTCCTCCCAGATCAGGAGGATGCCATGGTTCCACGGCAGAGTCCCCCCAGCCAGGCTGGAGGTGGCATCAGAGGGCTTTGGACAGTCTTGAGTGGGCATCAAAATGCTTAGGAGAGGGATGGTTTTACAAAGTCTTTGGGATCCGTCTTCAAAGATGGCACAGCCTGAGCTGCCTTCTCTRGGTCACTGTTTGGGAGGACCGTGCCAGCTCCAGCAGTCTGAGATGTGTCTGTCCATCTGTCTGTCTGCCTTGGCACCAGTGCCCAGCTGGGTCCATCYGAGCGCTGAACTTTGTGGGTTTTTTTCTACCCTGGCAGGGTTGGTGTGAACACCAGAGCCGTGCCGGGATCAGGTCCACAACCAGGGTGGGCACTAAACTGGGAGCGGTTCCGTGCTTTTTACAAAGGTTGCTGTATATTCAGGGTCACCAGGAGAATTCTAAAGCTCAAACCCAAGTGCCAGCTCCGCCTTATCTAGAGAACCAAGCAAGCCACTGTGCCTGCTCATCCTCCGCCTTCCTCGCCCGCGGGGGTTCCACGGTGAGCTGCCGCGAGCTCCTCGGTGGTTGTACTTTGCTGTAGCCTTGGGAATTYGGGATAACTCTTCTACCAGGATCTCGGTGTTTAACTAAGGGCTTAGGGGAAGAGCTGCTGTGCCTGCTGGGACCTCTGCGGATCGATGCCTTCGCCCCGTGCGGGCTGCCGGGAGCGTGTCGGACACAAAGCACAACGGTCGGAAGCGAATCTGCTTTTTTTTTTTTTTTTTTGGGCAGCTTTGTGTGAATAATTGCTGGATTTTCATTCAATCAAACTCTTTTTTCTAATACAAACCACTAAGGGCTCAATTCTTTAGCGAGATGCGTTCGTGTCCAACTCTTGACTGTACAGTTGGATCTCACCACGACTGGTACAGACCGAACCCGAGAGGAACGCAGTGAGCGCGGCCGTCACCGGGAAAGTCACAGACACCCACCCCACTGCACCCTTCCTCCTGCTCCTTTTCTGGCTGTCACAGTCCTGGGGAGCCAGCATCTGACAGAATCACAGCCCGTGGCTGTCAAAAGAGCTGCTCTGCCAAAAGTCTTTGTCCCTTTGGGTGACGCTGTGCAGGGAGGCGTTTTGGGGTCGGGATGGGTAGGTGGGAAAGTGCCCAGGGAGCCGGGTCCCCACAGGGGACAGCTCAGGCTGAGAGCAGCACCGTGTGCTACATCAAACCCCTCGTGTCACTACACTGATAACCAGAGACTCGYGTGGACTCTGCCAGTACTGCCGGGCTCACCCCTGTCCAGCCTTTTCTTTGCCATAGTGTCGCATTCAGCGTTCCGTCTCCTTTCTGTCTCCACMTCCCAGAGGATCTGAGTTGGGTACAAACACGTCCAGTACACCCGCCTTGTGCTTTGTACAACTCCCCGGTTGCCATCCTCTGAGACATTTGCTGGGAAGATCTTTAAGACACTTAAATTTTCCTTTAGCTTTTCTATAATTCTGATGTAAAGGACTTTCTCTCTGTACAGTATATTATCCAATGCATGTTCTGTTCTCTCTACTGATATATTGAACACCACACAGTTGTGATATTGTGCAGTGGGAAGAGCAGCCCCTGCCAACAGCAGAGGCCTTCGCCTCTCATCTCTAAGGAAAGAAGAAAACATATTTTTTCCTTCGCTGTATTTGCTTGAGCAGAGTTTTCTTGTCTGTACATGTGAGCTGTGAGATAGATGTGAAAAGTTCAAAAGAATGCATTCCCCTCCCTCCAATGTATACAGATTGTAATCTGTACAATGAAAAYTGTATGTATGAAAAAATGTACTTATTTATAAATGGTTAACACTTGGAAATGGTGTCTGGGCTGCTGTTCTTCCCACACTGGGGTCAGTGAAGGAGTGTTTTGATGCTTCCCGGTGTGGAAATGATGGTGTGAGGGTTGGGGACAGGGACATGGAGCCACCAGGAGCAGGAGGGGACAGAGGCAGCGCTGCTGCTGCCACCAGCAAAGGCCATATAATAATATAGTGAATATTGATAACATCCAAATGAATGGCCAGACCCTGGAGACACTCACTGAGCTCTGCAGCACTGGACAGCACAATCCCACCCATAACTCCCACCCACCCTCCCCAGCCCCTCAGCTCATCTCACGGCCATCCCGGTCACATGGGAACCCCAAAACTGCTCTGGGGGACAGAGACAGGAGAAGGACAGGGTTAGCAGCAAACATTTATTAGGCTGGGAGCATCCACTGAGCAAACACATCATGCATGGGGAGAAAACATTTGAGGCATAAAGCTGCTGAACCTGCTCAGGTGTGGGGTCTGAACCCCCCGGAGCCCTTTGGGGAAGGGGCTGCTCGTGAGTGGCACATCCCAGTGGAAACTGGGAATGCCTGTGAGCTTTGGTTGTCCCAAGAGCAGGCAGAGCCCTCTCCTTCATGCCCCTGACAGCACTCAGGGGTCACCAGGGGCTGGGCAGGGCTGAGCTGAGGATGATGAAGGCCAAGCGAGGCTGAATCCAGCGKGCAGCGTGGCACCAAGCGTCCCTATCTGTCCCCATCACCCTGGGCTGGGCAGATTCAGACCACCAAGGACGGTGCACAGGAACGTTGCAGACATCACCAGGAGCTGGGGATGTCACTGGCTGCCACCACTGGGGCTCTCTCCCTCCGTCAGGGTTTTGAAGTCCATGGACAGGGCCAGCTCCTCGGCCAGCGGCGGGCGCCGCCACTCCTCTCGTGTCACCACATAGGCCACCAGCAGCCCGAAGGCCACCAGCAGCACTCCCAGGGTGTTGGCCAGCACGCCCTCGGGCACAAAGTGGCTGTAGGAATCACTGTGGGGTTGGAGAGGGATGCTCAGGCCTTAGGGGATGGGTGGCGTGTCCCTGTCCTGGCTGGGACCCCCTCCTCATCCTCATCCTCATCCTCATCCTTCAGGCACACGCCTTGGGTCCCTTCCCCCAAATCAGAGCAAGAGAAGAGCGTTGGTGTTTTGGTGTTTTGCTCCCTTTCTGGAGAGATGCTCGGTGACAGATCAAACCAGAGCTCAGTCCTGTCCTCGGGCTATGAGCAGCWCCTGGAGGGGCTGACAGCTCTGTCCCCACAGTGCTGGAGCTGGGGGACACCCCAGTGTGGATCTGGGACCATCACCGTGTCCATCACSACTATCCTGGGTGGTTTTGCAAAAACACCCGGCCACAGGGAGGTGACACAAAGGGCATTTCACTCCCCTTCCCAAAGAAATGCCCCTCGTTTAACCTCATCTGCTGAGTGACTCAGCAGCAGCAGAAATAAAAACCTCGAGGGGAGATTCCAGAACCACGGATTGAGCAGGGACTGGGACATCCCTCTGCTGATCCCCACCCCAGCTCCGTCACCCACCTGATTTTGAAGAGGAGCATTTCAGTGATGCCCAGCAAGCAGGAGGTGAGGGACAGGATGAAGAGGGCGATGCCAAAGAACACGTGCTGGGGTTTGTAGCGTGCTCTCAGAGAGAAGGAGGCACCGGGGAACAGAAAAAATCCACAGCCCAGGAGCCACTGTGGGGACAGGGGAATGTCATGGGAAGGGAAGGGAAGGGAAGGGAAGGGAAGGGAAGGGAAGGG